TTATGATAATTGTTTTAATGTCTTTCATTCATTTATTTTAAAGTTTTTTGTGAATTTTTATTTTAACTATTAGCTTTCATTTTATTTCTGATTAAATTAATTTTGATTAGATGAAATGATATCGCTGATATTAATCGCTCGTTGTGAATTCTTCTTTTCCCCTTTTTTGTTTTGCAAATTAATCGCTTAGTTAGAATTGATATTTCACTAGAAATATATGCAATATATATATTTTTTCTTATCATTGTTATATATACAATGCAGCTTTTTTACACCTTTATTATTGACAACCTTTCGTCAGTTTGTGAAAATGAATTTTATTATGAAAGTTGTAAGAGTTAAATTTTGGAAGAATAATTTCATTGAATGAGTAAGTTGTCATTTCTCTTTTTTTAGCAAAATTTTAATATAAATGAATATGAAAAAGAAAATTTGAGTAATTTTAAATTTTTAACAATTATAATTTAAATATTCTTTATGATTGAAATTTAGGATAATCTAAAAATAATGAAAATGTTTTGCTTTTAATGGAATAATAGTTATAAAGCAAAACAGTCTCATTACAATTTCCAAAATATATTTTTTCAATTTGAAATTAAAATATTCTATTATAATTCAAACATTACTCGTCCATTTACTATTTCAAAATTAAATTACCTTCCAATTGTCATTTAAAATTAAACAGGTAAAAGAGAGGAAAAATAAGGAAAGATCAAAAAAGAAAGATTTGGCAAAAGAGATAAAGCCTTTACAGTATAACTTTGTTCTTAAAAGTTTTAACTAAGTTTTCATTATATGCCATCTTCTTACAAGATGGCAACAGCACGTTATTGTCTTATTTTCATGTCCTTTTTTCCTTTTTCTCTCTCTCCCGCTCTCTCTCTCTCTCTCTCTGTATTTCTCTCTCTTGATTTATCATTATTCAAGTTTTTAAATCTCATTTATTTAAATGATTCCTATTTGTATTGATTATCAATCCTAAATCGATCTATGATGTATACATATATGTAGAGAGAGAAGGAGAGAGAGAGAGAGAAAGAGAAAAGAATCATTTTAATGTTAACTTCTTTCTCAAACAATATATATATATATATGATACCTGTATAAAAATGTTGATTATTCAACTGTTCAGTTTTTTAATTTTGAAAAAGAAGAAATTATTATGATTCCTTTCTCTCTCTTTTATTTTATTTTATTTCACAACAACAAACTAAAGTGTTCTTTTCTTTCAGAATTCTTCTTAGTTACGAACTCTTATTTCATTTCAATTCAATTTGTTGTTTTTTTTGCGATCGCTTCTAAAAGAATGTATTTGTAAGTTGTAATAGTACCACCATTCATTAATGATAGGAACTTCCTTCTTCCACATTTTCATCTTCTTCTTATTCATTGACTTTCTACAATTCATCATAGTTGACCTTAAGTTAAGGCTATCGATTTATGATATCAATTATGAATATCTATCTCTTCCTTCCTGATATGAAATTATATTACTCTAACATTTATTTAATAATAATACTTTGAGATATCATTACCTTTTCCTAGTCTTTAAGATATCCAATATCTGCAGTACAAACATAGTAAATTTAAATTTCTTAAAATCTTACTTAGTGTCCAAATTGCTTGAAATTGTATGCATGCATAGCAAATTGTCACTGAAACAGCTCTTATAATTTATTTATTCAATTTGAGTTTAAAAAATTTCAATGATATTTATAAATGGCAACATTAAATTGTTTACAATAATTAAGCATATATCAGGAAATGTAATGTTCAGTGATAAATTTCATAGGAAATAAAAAGTATAACTTTCTAAATTTTGAATTTTAGTTTTTTTTCTAGATTTATAATAGTCCATTTAATTTGATTCGAACTTTTGTAAAATTTAAATGCATTCAAAGAATTTATTCGTAAGAAATGCGCAATATGTATCAGTCAACTGAGGTGTGATTTTATTATTTACAGTTGTTATTGTTATTTGGAATAATTGGAAAATTGTTTTTCTTCATATGCCTGCATATGCTAATTGAAACGAATTAAGATATTTGAGAGAGGTGATAATATAGAGATTTAGAAACATTAAAATCCATAAATCATTTCTTTCAAATCATTTGTTGAATTTGAATTCCTTAATAACAGAACAATTTTCTATCTTACAAACTTAACAGTAAAATAACTTATACTTTATTCATAACAATATTACTAATGCTTCAAACATCTTTAAAATTTTTGTCAAACTTGGAAATTTTAAAAGAAGTTATTAGCAAATCATTTTTATGACTTTGTTTTGTAAAAATAATTTTTTTCCGGAAACTGAAAACTCTATACGCTTGGTTATTATGTTTATATCTATATGTGTGTGCATGCGTGTGTGTATGTGCTTGTATGCTTCATTCTATACAATGTGATCCAATGTGTGTTATTCGAATTTAAATCATGATTTTTTTATCATCATCATTATTCCTTATTTTATAATTATAATTATCATCTGTGAAATTTCACATTGTCTTTCGTGAATATTTTTTTCCTAAAATATTTTCTAATTTTTGTCAATTGTATTGCTGCAAGCATGAAATAATGTGCCTTGTTCATTGATTTTTCTAACTTTGTTGCCTCTGTCGCATTTTCATTTTCGCTGAAGTAAATTTAAATTTTATTCTTTGAGAAATTTCAAGATTTTATTACTCCAATTTTCCATAAGATTATTCCCATATGATTTTTAAACTTGAAAGTTCATTTATCATTTTGTTTAACAAAAGGATGCAATTAACATTTCAAATTTGCGTTATTATCCAAAGATTTCCTTATGTTGCAATAGTAATCTACTACTAAATTTGCTTCATTTTTATTCAAGAACTATATTAATATCGTGAAAAAGATGAATCAATTTGTAATCATCTCTGATCTACAATCATTATTCTCAATCATAGTAGTATGATAAGATAAGGTAAATATCCAATGATAAAATCGGTGATATTCATTATAAGGCGAAAAACATATATAAGTGTATTCGAATTTAAATTTTCAATTTTAATCTAATCGTTATTAGCTTTTCGCCTCCTGTTTGAAACGAAATTGTTGAATGCCTACGCTCTAATGTGCCATTTATGAAATGGTGCCGATGAATCCTAAATGATATGCGTTATTATTTTGTGTGAAACATCTCATCAATGCTGATTTCATTCTTGTCCTTACTGTTTATGCAAAATAAATCTCTTTTTTTACCATTTGAATAAATGTCAATTCAATTCTTACAATGCCATCCCATGCAAAGTTTTGAAGTTTTATGAGAAGAATACAAATTACATACATTTATTATTAAAACATAAAAGCGTGATAATGATATCATATTAGGAAAAAACTGTTAACAATAGTAAAATTACTACCGTAATAGCAGTCAAAAATACTATATGCTACTAATAAAATAATTATTATTATCATTATTACTATTATTATTATTATTATTATTATTATTATTATTATTATTATTATATTATTATTAATTATTTTTATCGTACTTGAAGTATCACGCTACTGCTACATTGATAATATTAATACTAATAATGGTAGTAATTAATAATACGCTACATTTAATAATAATGATAGTAATTAATAATAGCAATTAATAATAATATTATCAATAATAATAACAATAGTAATAGTGGTAATAGTAAACAGTAATAATAATGACAAAAAAAATGGATAAGTATAATAAAAGCATAGCAATAAAGTTTCACTTATTTTTAAAAATCATTTGCTACCATCAATTTAAATCTTTAATTTCAAGTTAATTTTAATTGCTTAACTAGAGAAAACATGTGAACATCAAAAACTGAAACAAATATACGAAATATTTAATTTGGATTAATGCTTACTTCCATATGAATCTAACATTTAATATCGAGATAAATCGGGGTTGACACTCGATATTTCCTGTCTTACAACGATTATGATGTATGAGAAATTTAAGAATTTATTACGCATGAAATGATTCTAATTCATCGTACAACAAATGCATTATCAATAATTCAATATCCCTTCCTTCTACTATTCAAAATTTATTTTTCATCGTTTATCCTACAAAAAACGAATGAATCATTTAAGTGTTAGTGACTGCAAGTTCTTCACACACTGTGATATTGTTATATCTTTATTTGCAATTAAAAAAATGATAGAAAACCTAATGGTTGGGTTAAATTCTCTTCAACAACATACAATAGATAAGAATTTTATTTATATATGTATATATGCATGCATGCATGCATGTATGTGTGTTTATATATCGAGAATAGTATGGTTTGCAAAGTAATTTATCAATTTACGTAATAAAAAGAGATTAATAATAGAGCTGGCTGCTATTGAATTTAATCGAATAATGTTTGCTATGTTGTAGTTGTTGCTATTTGTTGTCTTCCCTATTATCAACTTTATACAAATATCTTTCAAATTAAAATAAATGAGTTCAACCAAAGTTATCGTTTCAATATGAGACACAAACACCATCTTTGAGGTAAAATTTCAATTAGAGGATAATGCTTTTTTTGTGGTATGAAAAATCGTCGCTTTTATTTTACAGCAAAGATTAACTTATGAATTGGTAAATCATTTCATTAGCTCTTTCGTATTCCATTTTATGAAATGACAACAAATAATTCTTATAAAAAGCAAGTGATGATAAATTATGCATCCTTTCTTTTGTCATACTTTTCGTAAGCATCAATTATATGATTTTTTTATATTCAATTGTATTAATTTGAAAACTTTACAAATTTATGCAATCTGTGTGTATCATGAGTGTCATTTTATTTTTATTTTTAATTCAAAAATCCACAAGACAAGAGAAACAACGTTATAAAGTGGACCAACTGGGAAGACAAACCCGTAGTCTTATGCCATACCACTCCCTTCCTTATTTTAATCAGAAGCATTTCTCTTGAGAAAATACTTCCACCTGCTAGAAGAAAAATGCGAAACTGCCAAAAAGATTTTTCATTGAAGTATCAACTGAATGCCGTTCGCACTTCTTCGAATTTTCTTATTTCAACAATTTTTACCATTTCTTCTTTCTCACCACCAACTGCAACGATACTTCCAGAATCAGGTGAAAAACGACATATATGAAGACCTCCAAGGTTTACATTATGCTCTGTAACAAGCTCCAGATCACTGCTGCTCTCTCGCAAGCGCCAAACTTTTAAGAACTGAAAATCAGAAAATTATTAGATGTATAAAGATACTACAAGTAATCTAATAAGAGGTATGAAAACTGAGGAAAACTATAAGAAATCTTTAATAAATTATATAAAAAGATCGCACGGAAATTTCATACAAATCAGATATCAAATAGGATTTATGTTTCGATATGAATCAAGTTGATGCTAATCGGACTATACTGCGCAATTGTTTCTGTAGGGCGTTGGACATTTTTCCCGTCAGAGAAACAAAGATTTCAGTTGTTTTGTAAAATTCCTACTGGCATCTCTCAAAAAAATTACCCCATCTTCACCACATGTAGATAATAAATCCTTGGTATAATAACTTTGCACTACGCTGCGAGCACCTCCGTCATGCACTTTTTTCGATATAACAGGTTCATTTTTACGGGTATCCATGTAATAGAAATGGCCTAAAAGAGATGCGTAATATATCTACAACAAAAAAGTCGTCTTGTCATACTTTAGCATGTATGGAATTATGATAGCTTTTTAACTGCAATATGCGCATCTAGCCAAAGAAAAAGCTATATGATAGATGCGCATGAAATGTAGTGATTATTACCAGTGACGAGTATACCTATTAATGGGGTAGTTTTAATTCCGGTTACATATATATGTAATCTGTCTTAATAAATAGTCAAATTTCTACAACCTACAATCCAACTTGCATAAAGTGTAAATAGGTACAGTTAGTACTTTCTCTAAGAAAAATAATTTACAGGTGAAACTAACCGTTGTCAGTGACTACAAAGAAATTATACGGAGAAAAATGATTCCATGTAAGTCGTTCCACTTCACCACTCACTTCCCATTTTCTTGATAAATTATCAAATTTCCTACAATCTGTTAATCCAACTTGACTTGATAACGTCCCTGTTAAAAGAATAGATGATTCCGTTGGATGCCATTCCACTGCTTGTACCTCAAATTCCATTATAAACGATGGAAAAATGTAAACAACCACTAGTCGGTCGTAGCAACAAGACTGGGGAGAGAGGTCCTCGGCTTATGGAAATATAAGTACAAAAAACGCGCTTTTCGTTAAGAAAAGAAATTTCACAAAATCTTTCAATTACCATTCCATCAAAATGTGACGCAATTGTTGCAGGCTTCGTTTCTTCGAGATCCCACAAAATCACAGAACTATCTGCGCCTCCAGATGCTAGAACATGTTCCATTAAGCGGTTCCATGCTAATGAAAGTACAGCACCAGAATGTTCTTGTGCACTGCCATCGCGCTTTTGTCGCTTTCTAAAATGTATCAAAAAATAAGTTTTAATTTTCAATATTTGGTGAAATCTATCATATATAAGGCGATCTATTTTATAGGTTTTTGAAACCGTCCAGAAAACCAAAAAACCTTTTTGTGGTCTTTATTTTGCCGAGAGTTACTGTTGGTTCCACTGAGTTCACCAGATCCAAATCCCAGATACTTATTGATCCATCTATACCACCAATAGCTAATAGATTGCCTTTTTTATCGTCGCTTCCTGGGTCAAAATATATCGGCTCCAAACATAAAGGAGGAACATCCAAAATGTAATCGTGGTGAACATACCAATCATTTTCTGCTTCATTGTATAAATACACTTCCAACGTATATTCATTCTTGAAAAAGGCAAAATAATTGAAAGGAAACTAAGAACTTCAGCAGCTTCTATTCATTCGAAATCAGTGAAATCAGGCCTTAAAATGAAATAGAGTTGTTCCAAACCTTATAAACTTTAGCAACTGCAACAAGATTATCATCTGATTTAATCTCAAAATCTTCTTGGTCTTCTTCATCACTATTGACATAAGTCGTTATATGAGGATCCTCCATAGGCGATGTAAATGTTGTTATTCCAGCCAAAGGATTAGGTCTGAATTTTTGTTGAAATCGACAAAGACACGTAACAAAAAGAACCTGTTTTTCTTTTTAATAATATAATGTCAATATAAAAGCATTGGGAGGTTATAAAACATGCATACCATTAACACTAAGAATAGTTCACTTGAATTTCTCCCTTTAATTTAATTTTGATCAGCAGATGCATAGTTCCATGCTTCTTATAAGAATGCTCTCAAGGTTTCAGCGCCGTTATATAAAAGACAAACTTCCAAATACACACCTTTCACCATCACTTTCGTCATATTTATCCAATTTATATCTATCAGCATCCGTTCCTTCGTCCACTACATCAGGACTTGAACCACGGATACCTCTCTGAAAAAAAGAATGCAAGACATCCTTATGCGACATCTTATTTGAATAAAATAACACCAAATTATTTATTTATTCATAGAAAAATAAATGAGTAGAATTGGAAAACTGAAAAAAAGGAAATACTCGTTGTTGCGTTTCGCCACTAACTACACCATCTGTATCGGATAATTCGCTAGTTTCCGGTTCACCCTCTAAAAATAATGCATTTATCATTCCGAAGATTAAAATCTGAAATCTGAAAATATCATTTGATCACTTGACCTATCCCTTCCCAATGCTGCAATGATCACAATTAAGGAATAGGAAAGAGCAAGTTAAGCTAATTCAGTATGGATCTTTTTGCACTTGAATTTAGAAATATTTCAACGCAACGCGAGAAATTCTAATAAAGTTCACAAAGCGAAATCATTTTCGCAAGAAATGTGAACCTAAATAAAACCATAATTAATTAGCAAATCTTCTGAAAAAATTTTAACCTTGAATCAAAGTTCTGATTTCTTCTGACGACAACTTTACCTTGTCCGGTACGGCTTTCGGTATTCCACGTTTTATCCAAGCTAAGTCTGCTATCAATGACATTCTTAATAACTAAAACAGATAAGAAAAAGTGGCATTACAATAAGTTAATTTTAATGCTTCCTGTAAAGTACTACTACGATCTTTTTCATAACCATTCTGATGAATCAATCATTAAAATCTTCCGCGCAATCTAATCAATTTCTCTCGTCCCCTCTCTGCCGCTATTTTTCATTACTTTCAGCAAGTAATTCCACATTCACAGGTTTATACCCCACCACTGCCTTACTCGTACCCTTGCACGCTGTCCACCGAATCCTTTCCCAATGATTGCGAGCTGAAATTCTGCCACATTCCAAAAACACATGCTAATCAACAGTATGCGAGAATTCGTTTCAATACCCTAAGGCCAACAAGTGTGGAAAGGTAAAATCGTTCGGATACTGACAGGAACTGTCCCAATCAGTTTGGTCATTATCAGTCTTAGGGAGGCTTATGATTCCAATAAGTGCAATTAATTATTGTTTTATGCCGGTGTCGGTTAATTTTATCCATGTTTTATCAATAACATTTTCTTGCTGCCCTAAAGAAAGGTGGCGATTCCAGGACAGTATCATTGTTAGATTCGCAGAAAAATCGTATAAATTTTCTTCTCTCAGAAGTTTCATGCGAAATTGAAAAAATTGCTTGTGATGAATTATTATAAATAAGGGAGGAAAATTGCTAACTATCGAGTAGACTAAAGACACTGTATTGATTGTGTAGATGGCATGATGAACCTTGTCTGAATGAACTTAACAAATGTTATCATTGCGAGATGACATAAATGATTGAACAGTTTGATTTCACATTTTATTTTATAACGTTATCACAAGTGATTTTTATTTAAATGCCACTATTTGGCTCATTCCACAACAGTTTGTTCATCTATGAAAAGGAAATACATATCCTTGAAAATATCTTTGAATATTCAGAAAGAAATGCACTTTGAAAATTTCTTTTAAAAAATTCTATGATTCAAATATGAATGTATTTCAGTTAATTTTTCTTCGGTATTATCCGGTCATTGTGCCTTTTTTTCGGGCTAAAAATATATGATAAATGAAGAAGGAATTTTTTCTAATTGAGTTATAAAATGAGCTAGAAATTTCGGCTCAAATTTTTCTAATAGAATTAAATTCTTTCTTTTAAGCTTCGACGAATCTATGGAAAACTTTACAATAACTATGTAATTTCACTTTCGTCATTCCAAATGATCAGTGAAAATTTCCTTCCAGAAAATCAATTGATAGCATAAAGTATCCGGATACGAAAGAGAGATGTAAGGATAGTTTTAACAGAATTTAAAAGGAGGAACCGGAAGTGATGATTGCGGTTGCTGCGGTGGGACATAACTTCCAGCATCTGGTAAATTGGATAAGCGAATAATCTCATAGATGACATATCCAATGATCAACAACTGAAGCATATCTTCATCCAACGGATACGACCAATAGCTGATTGAAAATATATGCACAATAATGAATGAATTCATTGCGATATTATTTGAGATTTATTTCAAGAATTACGTATTGCATACGTAAGATTTTTTTCCTCTTCCCTTCTTACATCGTTTATGATTGGCTGATTTTTATGGATGGCATGAAATTGGAAAAGAAAGAGAAAGAAAAAAGAAATTTACATATAACTCTTTCGATGTCAATCAATCTGGGAGCAAGAAATGATACGATCATGTTCAGCCGAAATTTTCCCGAAATTTTTCTTACTGACAAACATGAATCAACTTCTGGCAGTTTCTAATTTAGTCCAAACGTTTCCTTTTGTTTATTCAAAGTAGACTTTTCTTTGGTGAAGAATTAGTGGAACTCTTGAAGAAGTTAAGATATTTTAAGGAGTATTAGTGATCCCAATGTTTTGGTGGATTTTTTGATAATAAATCGTCATGCATATCAATAATATGACGTTGAAAAAATTTTTTGATAAAATTTATTGAGAAGAAAGAAAACTTTTTCTCTAGTTGCTTTTTCGAATCACTTGACCCGATTGATGATTGCTAATTACTCAATAAATCATCCAATAAATCAATAAAAGAAAAGATTGAAATGAATGAAATAAAATATATCATGAAACTTTCGATCTTCAGTGCTCAACTTGATGAATGTTAATTTAATGAATTCAACTTTCAGATTTAGTGACTATCATTTTATCACTTCTTTGTTTAAAACGCTCTTCTATTATTCAATTAAGCCAATTTCCATACAAATTACTTTACAATATAATTCAATAAAGATTTGTAAAACAATTAAAATGTCCTCTTTTGTCTCAACATTCTGGATTAAGGTTACGTGAAAACATGTTTCAATCACACATTCGACAAACAGAAATATTTTACAATATAAATTTAAAAATTACTCCACGAGGTATTTTCTGAAATACTCCATTATCTTTCATTCAAAGAAAACTCTTCCTTGTTGACTTTTTCTATTTTACTATGAATTTATGCTATGAATATATCAATTTATACAATTAAAAAATTCAAATTGCTATTTTAAATTTTCAAAAACACTGTGTTTTAAATGTTATGATAAAAAATTTTGAAGATACGATTGAAAGTATTGCAGTTTCTTGGCATGTTTCATACAAGTTTTAACAATTTATTCATACTAAAATAAAAATAATGACGATAATTGCAATATAAAATTGAAGCAAATTATCGCAGTGTGGATTATATGCGATACTGGTTTATTTGTCCTAGAAAGAGGGTGGAAAAATGGTAAAAGCTAGAACAAGAATATGTCGATGTCGTTGAATTTCAAACAGCTGCTGTTAGGTTGACAATTATACAGCTAGTTATACTTCTTTAACTTTTACTATCTAAGAAGAAAAGCATCACTTCCCGGTCAGCTTCCAAGAAAAATAATTCACCTTTGTGAAGATGTTCATAAAATTTTTCCAAAACAAAAGGGTTAAAATAGCTGTTCATCTTATTAAAATGCTTCAACTTCATATGTTTGATTTTAAAATGTCACATTAATTTTTCACAAATCAAAAATGATTGATCCGTAGAAAAAGAGAAAGTTTTAAACAATTGATAGCAATCTTTCTTGTATCTCGAAAATGTTACTTATACAAATAGCATCCATTCAATGATGTGCTGAAATAAAAGTTTATTCCGAGAGATTTCTTTTGTCTTTCAAAAATAATTTCTTCGGCAATTTTTCAAATTAAAGTGTTTGTTTTTAATTTTATAAATTTTTAATTTATAACTCATTTTCTTTAAAGAAAAAATAACAGAAGAAATTGTCCATGAAATCTCGAGTGTGTTGTATACTTTTCCATCTTTGTGCTGATTGTATCTCTGATAGTTAGACCAGTTCTGTACATAAATATATTTCTTAAATATGTTTTTATTGAATGCAGTCATGTTACATTATGATTGCTATTTCAATGAATATTTTGAAATTTCATTATCATCATTTTTACTTAATTTTTACTTTTATTTTCATTTCTCAAATTTCATAATTATATTTGTATGCAAACTTTTGATGAAATGAAATGAAATTTGTAAATAATTAATGAAAGTAAACGAGTAAATCATAGAAATGTTCAATTCCTTTTCTTTAAATTCATCCTAATTAAAATATCATTTACCTTATACACACCTTTTAAAACTTTCTTTCTTCCCCTCCTCTCTTTCTCTCTCTCTCTTTGATCAACTTGTATTGAGAAATTCTTTTTGTTTTTTTGACCCTTCTTATTGGGATTTGTTATTACTTTGCTTAGCTTCTCCTTCCACATTTATAAAGCAATTGTTCAATTTTGGATAGTTACGAATGTATTCTTTCCGTTTACCTTTTTTACCTTTGCATCTTTGCTGCAACATTTCCTGATTTTTGAATTAAAATTAATTAACTCAGCAAATAGCCTGCTCTTAATTAATGCCTTATTAATGTTAAATTTGCTTCATCTCAAATTGAATTGTAATATGCGCCTGTATTTTGACATTAGAATATGATTTGTTGAAGGAAAATAAAATTATCAAAGGATTAAAAAGCTTTCTTTCTGTCAAATTTAATTTTAATTTTATACTTTCTTAGAAATTACTAAACAAAAATGAAGTTTGCATGAATGCTATTTTTATTATTTCTCAAATGAAAATAAGCCAATGAATTATTACTTCGCCAAAATTAAAACGAATTAAATCGATATTGCTGAAAAAATTTTTGTAATAATTAAAAAATTTTAAGTTGTATGGATAGCAAATGGCAATGGCTTTTTATTGCTATTATTACAACTGCTAATAAAGTAATTCATACTGAAGCACAACCATTTATCGGAGGTATCGCAATTTTTGAAATTTAATTTTTGTATTACATTAAAAAAAACCATTGTTACAAAATTTCAAAAAAGTTGGAAAAAATATTGCAGTATATTGGCCGAGGTAGACTTAATTAATTAATAATTTCTTTTTTCATGATATGATAAGTGATTATATCCGATTCTATCATCATCTATTTAGTGATACTATAATTTTTTTTTTGTACGGCACTTCAGTAAAATGCCTTTCTTGCAGCACGGTACAATCCTTATAATATCATCACTAAATCAACGATACTACATGAAAAAAAGCCATCACGTAGCTATTCAGCACCAGTTCGAAATGTTTGCCACTTCCGATTTTTTCTTCTTTTATCTTTTTTAAATTTTATGAAACAAATTTGAATTTCAGCCATAAATTTTCAATGGATCACTTTTTCAAGGTTCCATCTCATACATTGCCTTCACCACTTCTAGTAAGCTTAACATCACAATCAATAATATTTCAACGGCGAAAAAATTCCTATATCGAAAAGCCAGCGGTAAAAAAGGTCAGCTCCTGTCAAAAAAAATTGCATAAAACGCGGTCAACAATTGAATTACTGAATATCCAACTTTAATGAATTCAGTTCAGCTAATTAAATTTAACTATTTTCTCAGTTTAAATTTCAAAATTAATATTTAAAGCCTAATTTATTCATGTAAAGAGAATTATTGCATTATTGAATGGAAATTTTTTTCAATTAATAATTTTTACTGTTCAAAAATTTGGGAAATGTATAACATATCATTTTAAGATTATGTATGAACTTTTCCAATTAACTATTTTATTAACTCATCTAAATGGTACTTTATATTTATTGGAAGAAATTTTAAATTTAATTAATATAATGATTTAAATTTGAGTTCATTGCCGAAGTGACAGCACATACTACACGGTACAATGATCTGAATGAAAGCTATGAGAAAGTTTTATTATTAATGCAACAGTACTTCACTCAGAAGGATCCAAAACATCGTCCTTACGTTAGTACTCTCAATTTAAATTTATTTTAATAAAATTTTTGAAACAAATTTTAATATTCTTTAATTTGATTCTGCATTGTATGAAATTAAAAAAAAACTTTTGAGTTTTCAACTAATGGAATTTGTCATAAGGAACCAATTTTCCAGTAATTATTTCGTTGTAAAATTTAGTAAAAGTTGATCGTTAAATGACGAAATAATGACGCATAATACATGGTGCACAGATGTAGATATCTTTCTGCAATTTATTATTTGGGACAAGTTTTGTAGAAGATAATTAAATAATTTTCAGTTTTCCATCTATGGAAATACTTTTTTGAGATTATAAGAACTTTTAAATTATTAAGAAATACATGGAATTAATTAGTAATGCGGGAAATTCATTATAATAAGATAATAAATTGATTAACTGATATAATTGGATTGATAAGATGAAAAGTAATTGAATGTAAATATTATATTTGGGCTTGCTAAAATTTATGATTATGAAAGAGTGATCGATTATTTTTAGGCTCATTTTTTATCTAACAGTCATCGTTTCAAGAAAATTATCAAAAAATTATGATAAATAATTTGTGTTACTTTAGGATGGTACGATGATACACCCATCAGTAAATCCACAAATGCATAACGAAATGCGATATAATGTACGAATTGCCGGATTCCTCTTCGAGAACGACATTGCATTGATTTTACGACAAATAAAAGTGTTACGTTTGCTGAAGCAATATCGCGAAAAACGAAAAATTATCTCTGATCCGAGCTTCTATTGGAGAAGTTCATCGATTGCATATCGTTTCGGAAATGATGATAGTTCGTCCGTTTCATCTTATCCTAATTTATTGGCAATTTTTGTTAATAATGTAATGTTGAAATTTATTCTTAATTTTTTAGCCGCATAATTTTTTATAGTGTAATTTAAAAGAAATGTTAAATATGTGGTTTTCAACTATCATACATAAATTACCGTTAACTTTTCCACATTTTCAGGAGATTGGCAAGATAGCATTCGTAGAGCGCTTCGTTATTGGGAGAAAGAAACATGCTTACATTTTGAAGAAAATAAACTTGATGATGATTATTTATTTTTTATCATTGGAAGTGGGTAAGCTTTTTGTGTTAAACTTTTTTTTAATTTAGAAAATTTTATTTAATTGTTTTGCCTATTTTGTGAATTATCAAATGGACAGAAAATTTGATGAATGAACAGGAAGCAATAATTATTGCAACATAAATTATTCATAATTAATATAATTAGTAAGAGAAGTTAAACCGAAATGAAACAATCCGAAATCTCCATTTAATTATCAAGCGGATTGAATTTGTTAACCTAGCACCATTGATCTTTTCAGATGGCTCATAATGAGAAAAAGTTTCGACTCTTATTATTGAGACGGTAGCCTCCAAAATACGGTAGCGACAGTAATTTTTATCGTTTTGGATAGTCTAGGCATTTTATTTTCCTTTTAATTTGATTATATTAATTTTACAGTTTTAAATTGCTAAAAGCGATAAAATTGAAAAAAAAATAATTTGAAAAAATTTTTCATTTAAATTAAAAAAGGTTGTTCAGATGTTATTCGAGTGTCGGTAGATTAGGCGGCAGCCAAACAATTTCCATTGGTTATGACTGTGAAACTGTTAGTCTTTTAATATATTTACTTTTAAAATGTTTTTTTTCTTAAATTAATTACGAGTAAATCTTAATGAATTTTTTTTTGAAGCTTGGAATTATTTCACATGAACTTGGCCATGCATTGGGATTCTGGCATGAACAGGAGAGACCGGATCGTGATAATTATGTTAATATCAATCTACAAAATGCACTTAGTGGAACTGAAGGAAATTTCGAAAAGCGCAATCCATCAGAAATCATCGCATTGGGTGTTCCATATGATCTCGGATCCGTGATGCATTATTCTACTAATGTATGTTTGATTTTATCGATTATCCTGATATGCAAATTAAATAGCCTTTGCACAGTTTTTAATATTAGTATTAGATTTGAAAATTTATTAGTTTTCTCGAAGTGAAATTTTAATCTACTTGGAAAAAAAGAATGGGTAGAGAGAGAAAAAATTAAAAAATAATTTCGATTCAAATTTGCAAAAGTTAGCAATTCTCAAATTAAGAATTCATTTGTTTATTTAATAAATGAAAGCAATTAGAAGCTTTGTTGTTTAGAGAAATAAATAATAACACTTAACTTTATAAACAATGTTGATTAATTTTGATAAACATTTTAATAATTTACACTTTACATTCTGTATTGCAAATTTTACATTCAAAATAACTTTATTAAAAATAAAATTTGTCCATATAATTTATTTACATAAAACATTTATTAGACATTTGCAAAACGATTTATGGACTTTACGGTGGATCCGATAGATGTGAAGTATCGTTCAACAGTTGGCAACCGTGTAGCGCCATCATTCACCGATTTCAAACAAATTAATTTACTTTATTGTTTTGGTATATAATTTATTATGAAAATTTCAACCTAACTGCTATTAATTTGTATAACATTTATATATCCTTTTTTGGTAAATATTTATTCATTTAATTGATTGAATGATAAGACTGCAGGTACGGTTACGGTTAGTTGTAAATATTGCTCAAAATTGTAAAAATAAATTATCCGACTGATTTAAGTTTACAGGTAAGTAACTCATTTAGAAAACTGAACAATACGTTGAATTTTTTACCAACCTTTTTTGCGAATTGAGTAATTTATAGATTTTGCTTATTGAAACTTTGTTTTTAACTGAAATAGAAAAAATGATGCAAGAAAAAAGAACGAAACACTGAAATGAGTTAAATCAGACAGATGTCAGACAACAAATTTACATTGTCGCAATGGTGGCTATCCGGATCCAAACAATTGTAGTACTTGCAAATGTCCTGAAGGCCTTGGTGGTCAAAAATGCATTGATTTACAATATTCTTGTGAGTGATTTTATCTAGAAATAATTTTGCGAAAATTTTAGCAACATGCTGGAAGTAATGTTAAAAACTGTCGTAAGTAAAAAATCAGGAAATTATTAAATGAAAAAACTTCAAATTGAATTTCAAGTTGTTCAACAACGATACTAATATCAAATGAAGGGAAATTTCGGAGGAAATATTTCAGAGAAATTAAATCAAATTGTTTCAGACGAATTTATTGCAAGTTTTTGAAATTTTTAAAAATAAATTGGTTTAGAAATTTTTGCAAAAAATTTTAGGAAAATTCAGCGAGTTTTATAAGCTTTCGATAAGATTCTAGAAATTGCTTAAATTTTTTCAACATTTTATGAAATTCCAAAATTGATAAATAAAAGAAATTTATTATTTAAGCATGTGGTTATGAACAACAAGCCAGTAACGAATGGCAAACATTGGAATATTTTGGCTCATCCAATTGCTATTGGAGAATTTCCTCGGTTAATTCTACAATAATTAACTAATGGAATCAAATAGATTGTCTACAATTCGTATTGCAAAATTTTTTCAGAAGATTGATCCTGAATCGTATCCGGTGTGCAATTTTTCCATCAACGGGAGTGATATTGCACTGACTATCCGGATAGTAATAGTCGTATCTTAAGTAAAATTGAATATCTTGTCTAAATTTGCTAAATTAACTGCTCTGTCATACCAGTTCCCTTTACTTCAGATAATTTAAACCAGTTTGGGTGCACTCAGAAATTATCAGAAATATTTGTAGTTTTGATAAAAAGAACTTGTTTTCATGACTAAGTCAATCTGCCCATTGAAAATTTTATGATAGATGTTCAGGAAAACCACCAAAACGTGGAGTTCATTATTTTTCAATGTCCGGGATTTTGTTATCTTCTCGATAATGTATCCTCCAAAATACTAAATATTAGAATCTATTGCACATTATTCGAATCTATTGCATATCCAAAGCGTAGCAAATTAATTTGCGTTTTAGATTTCTAAAAAAGTGTCGGATGAAACTTAATGCAGTTGATAATTCAAAAAAAAAACGATTACGCTAGAAAACAATTTGAAGAAAATTGTTAAATTTGTATTTTTTTATTCGAAAATTTGAATTCCAGCCAAGTGGTCGTATCCGTTTTGAGCTTACGGAAGCGCACTACAAATGTGATCCGACATGTGAGGAATATGTGGAAGTGAAGCATAAACTTGATTTGCAAATTTCCGGATTTCGTTCTTGTTGTCTACCAGTTATAGGTGAAATTCTTTCTGAGGGCGAAGTGCTAATTGTCATTTCACGCGCTTCTAGAACTTCACATTTTGTTCTACGATTTATTAATGGTTCGTTTTGTCTGCATTAAAAGGTTTTTAGCAATATTTATTTTCTAATTGAATTACGATAAGTCTCAGTCATAACGAAAAACATTATTATTTGATTTCACACTGAATTTTCTGTACTTACTACATTACTACATTATAATGGATCTATTCAAAATCATAAAATAAAAGCAGAAAATTTTTCCTGAGCTATAGATTTTCCTAGGCAATTTCAAATTTTCAAATTACCATTAGTAAAATAATAAGCTAATTGCATTATTTAAAATATTTCAAAGTCCAAGTATTGCAAAAAAAAATTTTCTCATATTAACATCTTTTTTTTAGATCGGCCAACAATATTACAATCATTGACACCAATCTATTCAACGACACCTCAGTTGAAAATTAATTCCACTCACCGATTTCAGTATCCAATAAAACGAATTTTAAATCAACCAAAAACATATAGAAAATTTCGTAATTGCAAATGTATAATAAGATATCGAAGACGAAATAAGTCACAGTTAAATTCAAATCGTTCTGTGCAACGCTTTATAAAAGCACAGCCTTTTATAAAATCTTCTAAATACGGAAGGTTTTAAATTCATTACAATTATATGAAACGCTTAAGTATTTAAATATATTTCATAAAATGATGTTTAAATAGAAAAATTCAAAAAAGAAATTATTGAATTGCTTCGTTGAAATGTAATTCAATTTGAAGTAAAAATGAATAATAAATTTTGAGGAAAAATTTTATTGACAGCCAACAAAAATAATATTTTATATGAAATGAAAAAAAAAACCACAAAAGTTTAATTAATTTTAAACAGTAACTGCCAATTTTTTATTCCATTGACGATTCTTATATACATATATATATCATATATTCTTATATATATATATTTCCTCAACAGTTATTGCTATCATAGAAAAAGAAATTCCACTTGAATTGAAATTTGATTACTATTTGTTTGATAACAGAGAATGAGAAGAGAGAGTACAATTTATCAAATGAAAAAAAAACAATGCAAATTACAAATAAAAACACATCGAACTAAGATCAAAAGTTCGAAGAACAGAATTTTAAATTGACAGAATAGAAAATTAAACCAAATTAATCCAAATTTATAAATGTCTCGCTTTCTATCTCAATGTGTCGCAAATGTAAAATAGTAATATCATCGAATATTTTTCTATGAAAATGAAAATATGTATTGTAATTTAACTGAAGTTGTTTTACGCCAATTCTGCAAGTTACTCCGTTGCATTAATCATCAAAATAAATTCCAAAAGTTTTGTGTATGTTTGAATAATGAATAGATGAGGATCGGAAGCGCTTCGTGACTCTCTTTTCGTACTTAACGATTGCGGTTCTGTCCTAGAAGGATCATCCAACATTTATTATATATTCTCATAGGATATTTTCAACAGTTCCACTCAGACTTGTTCCTCCTTAACAATTATTTCAAAATTCTTTAAAACTTATTTAAATTTTCTTTCGTCCATTTTTGCTCTATGAATATAAAAATAATATTACTTTTAAACTGATAATGGTAAGTGAATGGTTGGGATAATGTTAAAATTTGATGATCAGTATTCGTGATATTTAATTTGGAATGAACAATATTATATAAGCATGAATATAAATAAATATGGTTGATGTCACAGTAATGATAACTGAAAGACAGGTAAAAGTAATCGATAAGTAATAATAGTTGAAATAAATGAAGTGCTTTTTTCATTTTCATTCTAATTTTTTTAAATTTTAGATAATAGGTAAAAATATTAAGTTTAATTAAATTTGATTTCGTTATCATGCTTATGATTTTTGAATACCATTGCACGCTACAATGACTGAATACCATTACATTTATTTCCTTGTTAAAATGATCGCTAAAAATCAAGCAATTTATATGTTTCAGAAGTTCTCGAATGAAAAGCTATTTTCATCCATGTTAATATTTGTGATACTATCAACAACAGAAGCGTATTTTCCTAAATCATCACAGCCACAACCATGGCCATATCCATGTCATCATCATTCACGAGCATTACATTGTCGACCACCAAAACCGCCACGTAACAGTTTATGTTCTCCATCTTTGCCATCTCATCCACAATCAAAACCACTATGTCCACCATGTCCAACAGTTTCTTACCCCATTCCACCATTCTGTCCTGTACTTTGTCCTCCATCACCATCAGTATCTTGTCCTTTATCATGTCCACTATCACCGTTACTCTCCTCACCCAGTCTCCCAGCATCTTCACCATCTCAGCATTATAATATAAGACCGATTAGCTCCAATTCTGGTAAGCTTGCATCTTACTTAGATGGAATATCTGAAAGCCATCAGGGCAGTTATAAAACTCAACAGTCTGGTCATCTTATAAATGATATTGAAACTGTAACCGGTTTACTGCATTCCTCGTTTTCTACAAAACCAGAACCAACTGAATTACTGAAAAACCAGAACCAACCGAATTCTAGTCAGCAATTCAATCAACCATTTAATACTTATTTGTCAAGCATTATCCATGAAAATGGATCAATTCTATCACAACAACAGCTACGTCAAATAGCAACTACCGAAATGGATGAACCTATCGCAGGAATAGCAAAGAAAGCTCAGAAATATGGAGCTAAATATCTAATAAAAAGTAACTGCTCATCGAATGACAGGAACTGTTTTATCGATGATTTCACTGTACCACCAGAGGTATTAAAATGCTCATCAAATCTGTATATTTTGGAATTGGTCTAGTGAATAATAAAAGTCAATTACTAAATTTCAAAATTGTTGAACGACTTGAATTGGAATATTTTGAAAGTTAAGCGATCATTTCACCAAATATTATTTTGTATTTCATGAAGTACATCTTTTTGCAGAATGACTGCTGCACAAACTGTTCCGCTCCATGTCGTTTTCGATATATACGAAAGACATCACTTAGAAGCGATCAAGTTCAGGAAGTGGATCCGGTCTGTAATAATGAATTACTGAAACAGATAATCGATAAAGTTCGTGATTTTTTTGTTACAAAAGTATAAATTATCTCACTCAACAAAAATCAATCAAATTTAAAAATACACTCTTGAAATAGTTTGTGATCATAATGGCCTGAGGAATCATCAAGACTTCAATCAACTTCGAACAATTAAGGCAGAGTTATATTAAATTTTCAAGTAAAACAAATCCTGGAATTCGAGGAAACTAAATCTCATTATTGAACAAAAAGTTCAGCTGTGCTTTTTTACTACAAACAATTTGCAGCAGGTGGATGATGACATCAACAAATCTAAAATTCGAATAGAACGAACATCACGATGGTTTCTTGGAGGATTATTTGGAGTGATCTGCGGAAATGATAATTTTGCTTATGTAATTCAGACGAAGGATTTTTGTCAACATCGAAAAGGAAATGTTACTTGCTATGTTTTTCGACCATTATTAGATTACAGTAAAATCAATATCCCGTAAGGGAAGTTAAAAGAACATAACCGTTAATAGCTTTAAATCTTTTAAATACATAAATTTAACTGACCCACACTTTCTATTCATAATAATTTCAAACTACATTAAAAATTTGAGTTAAATCTTGATATAAAGCAATGTGAATCTTGATATAAAGATTCATATTCTATATATTATTTTCAAACACAAATGCTGTGAGATTTAACGTCATACAATGAATAAAATAAATGTATCAAAAGTATACAAAATATACAAGGACAATAAGAAATAATGCTTCAGCTTTCATCTTGCTTTATAAAAGAGGATAATGGTTCTGGAAAAATAAAAAAATAGAAAAACAACCATGGCTATATACAAAATGATCAGTATTTTACTTGGATCAACATTTCAGATGACTAATTAAATTGCTAGCTTAGAAATTATAACGCTGCACCTAAATAGTGCATTCAGTGACCCGTTCTTTGCACTTGCCAATCCTGCAAAGGTCGTAACGAATTGTCTGTGCAATGCAATTAATTTTTTTTAATTTATTAGGAAAAGAATTGAGCAAATTCATTATTACTAGCAGTAACTCATATTCTTTCAAAAACCTCATATTCTTTTAAAAAACGCTTTCTTTTGAGCACATCATTAACAGAAAATTTATATCTAACATCTGATCTGATCTATCGAAATAAGCTCAGAATAATTCCACGCCCATGAAAGAAGGGACATATGAGAAATTTTTTATCCCTTCACAGCATACTGAAATATAAACGAGACATTTTTTAATTCAATAAAAGTTGAAAATACCTGCTGACAGAGAGGGCAACGATTGTTCTGCTTTACCCATAAAGCCATACAGCAATTGTGAAACGAATGATTGCATTCGCCCCATACTACAACACAATCATCTTGTTTATTTTCTGATTGGCATCGTAAACAAGAATCTGAAAATTTTGATAAAAAAGATAAATTGCAAGAGTTCCATTGGGTGCTCGTTAAGAATTTACAATGAATGAATTTGATTGACCCACCCATTAATTGGACTCGACATATCGCACAAATGTCACATTCCACATCCCAAGTCCACATCGCCAATGCATTCCATTTCTTGAGCACAAATAGGCGTTGTCCAACCAATGCTGTATCTTTTGATTTCTCCATATATCTGGAGGATATTTATGCAGTGAATCAATGAATTTGAACGTATACAAAAATGATATCAATAACAGAAACTCTATTTTTGGAGTGAGAATTGCATATTGGTGGCAAACTTATTCGCGTTCTGCATTTACACTATTTGGAATGAAAAGCTGACTACAGATAAAAGCACTTGGATAAGTAACAAGCCTCTTATATGTATTTAGCAAAATGAATGTTATAACGGGAAGTACTCTTTACTACAGCAATATCGTCTTACTTTCCTTACATTAAAAGCTTTATCTTGTCAGAACGGCGTGAAAAAAGAGTGAAATTGGATTGAAGACCGTAACATACAACAAACAGCAGGTAATAATATTTTATTTAAAGATATATGGGGAATCAAAAAAAAGACAATTGAAGAATTTAAATTTTTGATCGACCACTCTCCATCATTGGTCCCAAAAACTTCTTGAATGTTGATAATACCTACAAAACAGAATACTAAAAGATACTAGAATTGAAACTGTTTAAGTGCTATATAAATTTTACGGTTTTCTATCGTAAGAGACCATGTCTTTCCCTTCGAATATAATTCTTACATACATCAAAATCAACATATCATGCTTGTAGATTCAATTTCTTACTAGCAGAATAGTCACTGTTCCTAAAGTGAGAAACTGAATATAAACATTCGTTTCATTCCATTCCTATATTTGTTATATGATTGCACCGTTACACAAATGACAAGAAACAAACCTCACTGATAGCATCGTTGCAAGTCATTTGCTTTCAAGAGCAATAAATTTGAAGTGGAACTATGCCGCACTAGAATTCCTAAGCACTTACTTCAGTCTTGTTCAATTCTGAATGTTTCACCCATTCAAGCATTGCCGCATAAACATTACCATCACGTCGACCAAGAACAGAATGAAGTTCACGATCCGAAAAATCAAATGAATCTACTATGGCTACAGCATCCGGACGTAATTTTCCCAATATTTCATAGATACCACATTTAACGTTTTTCATTTGTTCATCCGTCATATAATCCGCCTTAATAATGGTTTATATGATAGCTGAGACACATTTTCACAATATTTTTACTAAGAACGCAGCAATCTAATGTAATTATGCTCATGTTTACTTTAAAGAGATATGATGAACTATTCTTTACTAATTATAAGAATTGAAAATGCTACTTATCACTGAAACATTGTATCAATGAATGCACTTCAAAGTTAATTGGTACAGACAGAATAACATATATATTTTGCAACTTACTTTCCTAAAGGAGTAACAATGAGTGGAAATCGTATGAAGAGAGTAAAGTTTGCCAATCAGGTTCAATATTCGTATAATCTCTGGTTCAGTGCATTGTGCTATTTTTAAAAAATAACTTTTTGCCATAAAACAAAGAATGTGCAGCTGAAAATTATGGATATTAACTTTGTAGTTTAAAATGTTATCAATTTCAATATATCATCCAGAAGACAATGCATTGGAATAAAATTTGGAAAACAAAAATATATGGGATGATTCAAAATTTCTTTCAATTAATGCGAATTTCCCGAATCCCTTTACGAAATTCCTACAATTATTTAAAAATTTCATTTGTACAGTGTTAGATGTAATAAATCGACGAGAAAGTTAGTGTATGATAAAATGATACGCATAAAGACATCAATAATGCTCACTCGACTTGCTTGACATAGCTCAACAGAAGCGCAGTTCCATGCTTCTTCAGGAGAAAGATTATTTTTTTGAAGCTGTTGTAGATAATCAAATGTGGAATATATCTATAAATTGATAAATGCATAGAGTATTATTTCTAGAAAGCATTGAAAGTAAAAAAATATAACAAGAAAGGATAACCAATGGTAATTCGGTCATTGAGTGATCTTAATCAAAGACTCGCATAAACTACCTAAGTTTTCAGGCGATAATTCAGCTGAATGAACGCTAGTGCTATTTTAGATCTGTATGTCTTGAACTATAAACCTTCAGCTCCTGACCCGCACCTCTAATAACATATCCTTGGAAGACGGCCAAACAGCGGAATCACATCAAGCAATTATAAATTCACCTGGTTTCTAGCAGCTTGTTCGAAATCCTCAATCAAATCCTCATATTTAGCTGTTTGCCATACTCGAAAACGGGATTTATATTTCTTATCACCAAGCAGGTATCTGGCAATTTCTGCTAAATGAGCATTGCTGGACTGTATTTCTTTGACTGTTTTCATTAAAAAGCTGCAATATTGATAATTTATTACTGTAATTCAAAAATTCTTAGTTTTTCCACAAACATCAAAATAAGGTTGGAGTTCAAATTGACACACCGTGCAACCTGAAGCAGCATGACGATATTTTCCCCTTCGTACGTACAACCAGCAACGGCGAAAGAATAAATTTCTGGCAAACCAGATACATGTGAATAACCATGTCCACCACAGGCCAATCGACACTGTTCTATACCCTGCACAAAATTCCCGAATACATTCATGGATGGCAATTCTCGAGAATGTACTATTGTCTTCATGTGATTTGAAAGTGAAAAGTTGAATGTCGCGCTTAGTTATTGCCTTGAAATCTTATAAAGAAATAGCATAATCCAAAGGAAAAGTTACAGACCTTTGCGACCTCCCATGTGATGACAGCTTTGAAGCCTGAAGAGAGAATGTGCAATTCATGCACCAGTTCAGTAATACCAGCCGAAAGTTGTTCACTGACCTCAAATTCATGAGTTCAATTATGATTTGAAAAATCTTGAACATTAGTTAAAAAAACCTATAAATGAATAATGGCAAATTTAAATATCACCAAGAACTTATAGAATGACAAAAGAAAAACATTGATATCTTGCGAGATATTGCTTAAGAGAGATCAAAAAATACCCTCATATATAAATCTTTCACTTCCGTTGCGGTAAACAAAAACACAAACGACTGAGCAAGATAAGGAAGAATACGGTACTGTTGCGTTCGATAATCAAGTATTTGAACTTCTTTATTTGAACTGAAATGTTTTAGTAATAATACATGAAGTCGTAAATCCCATTATGACCATAACGATATTTAACAAAGTATCTGATAGCAACAAATATTTCAAAACTTGAGTGCCCTAAGCAAATAAACTGTCAGCATAGAGTATAAAAAATTAAACCATATTATGCAATAGAAGACTTACCCAGGTTTCCATTCTCCTTGCCTTCTAATAGCAGAATAACGTATAGCTATTGTAACTGCAGCAGCCAATTGCATAGCTTGATCTCGTACCATAATTGACCGTACAAATACCATTGTACCATAACGCAGTTTGGAATGCTTCGGAGCAATGTATTCACCATTTGATAGGACCTAACTAATGAGAAAAAAAATTCAGAAACTTTATGAAATCACCAAATGGATATATATATAAATAGATTATATTAAAAAAGCTTACTTTTGAATAACGCATGAACATATTTTTACGTGGGATGCGGTAATTGTTGAATATAAGGAAGCCATTATCAGTGCCAGGAATACCCATTTTAGGGCCAATATCTCCAACTGTGATGCCTGAATTAAAAATTTATAAATCTTATTTATGTAAAGAATAAGTTATAAATATGGCTGCACTTAATCAAGTTAAAACTAAGGCTTCATCATCAATTGATATGCATTTGTAATCTCGCAACATGCGCGAGATTGATAATGGGATAGCCTAAAATACTGCTATTTAGAAAAACGTGGTTTGTTCTCCCCATCTATATCATTATTCAGAAATATAGATTTAATCACCAGGCAAAGGCATGTGAGTGTCCAGATCCCTGAATTGAACAATGAACATATGTAAGCCTTTGTTGCTTCCGTTAATGATAAGTTGTGCAGGAATTATGGCATGATTTGATGACTTCCCAAGACCACCTGACCACCATTTTGTTGCCGAAACTGATGGTGTATGCAGCACGAATTCATCTGTTTTGTGATCATATGTTGCCGTTGTTTCCAACTTGGAAATATTAGTACCTTAAAAACAACAGCTAAATTTACACACCTGCAATACAGCATAAAATTTTTGTTCAAAGAACTTTATAAATCAGATTTAATATCAAATTTGTTGGTTTATCTAAAACAAAATTTATTGCGGTGTTCAAAAAAGATTTTCTGCTCTAAATCGGAACATTTTTACATGTCTGATTAAAAAAAAATGTATAAAATAAAATCATAAACCATGTCCAAGTTCGGTTTGTGCATAAGTCCCAATGATGGCTCGAGTAACAGCCAACGGAAGCCAGTAATCCAATTGATCATCATCCGCTTGTCCTTGAATAGTTGGTATGAACATCGAGTAGTGCAACGACATTGCATGGAAATCACGTCCCATTATCAGACTATAACTACCCAACTAATTCAATTCCAAACTAATCAACCAGTTTTTTTAAGATTCTGCAAATAATTTACTATCATACAAAAATAAACTACACCTTTGAAAAAATAGTCCTTCTTCGAACACATCCGACTGATCAATAAACGATACTTTATTGGTCATTGCTACGATCTGAGGGGTAATTAAGCCATTATTAGATGGTTCATTCAGAAATAAAGTTTAAAAGAATTCATGTACTTAACTTCTGACACCTATATAATTTTCCGAATGAATCTCCGAAATATTTAAATGACTCTTTTCAAATTTTATACAGTTCCTTCTATGAGAAATATTGAAAATTAGAATGTAAGGAACAAAATTTAAAGTTCTTTTTCGGAGAAATGATTAAAGATTCAGTGTGAGGGATAAAATCTAAGAAAACAAACCTTCCGAGCATTATTCTCAACTCGTTCCTTACGGCTCATGAATTCAGGTGGAATGGGATCTTGAAAATCCTCCTGAGACTCTACAAACTCCAATATTTCATGTCTTCTACGAAGCTTTTCTTCACCACCATGTATGAATGCGGCCAATTTGCCAACCGAAAAAGATGAGCCTAGCCGTTCGTTGGTAATATCTTCATTGTCACCCGGTTCAATTAAATTGTGTCGCATTTTGGGATGCTAATAATTTGTTTCCTTCAACGTATATGAATATTTTATCGTTGATTATTAAGTTATTTCAAACAATTTCATAAAGAAACAAATTAGCCATTATAAATATCATTTATACTTCCAAATCAATTTCAGAACAGAAATCCATATGAATTGAGGTATTGAGACAAACTACTAGTTTTTTAAAATATTTCATCGTTACTTCAGACTTTTGTATTATCAATAAAATATTACACATCAATTGCAATATATTCACAAAGTAGGAAATGACTTTTAAAGCACTGGCAGTAAAAATGAAAAAAAAGACCAATAGCAACTATTATTTAAACACTGAGTCAACGCAAATATATATATATATATATGTATATGCACAGGTCAGGTCAGATGCAGCACTATCTTCTGCTGTTGATCATATACAAGTCAATACGAATCAAGTTGATAACCACAGAACGCATCAGCAACAACAATTAACCACTGCATCAGAATTAATCAATGCCATCATCGTTAAATGTTGTCATTATCGTTAAATGTATATTAACCACTTTCTCATCCCTTCACATGTTATACTAACTCTTACATATACTTCACAATTTTCTAGCGATTGATTTAAAAAAAATCTTAGCAAATTTGAGCTTCTTTTTTGCTTACAAATGAATAAATGGACACAAAAATCCAATTTGTATATATTAAATTGAGATTTGAGTAAAAAAAATTATTGAAAGAACTGATTTCACAAGAATATGCGATCACAGGAAATCTTGTATATTCATATTCAAACTAACAATTTGCTTTATCAAACACGTTAGACAAGAATAAATAAATAAATAAACGGTCTCCTTTCGGAAATGGCATTGCAATAAAACATACGTGAAATATTACGTATTAGCGTTGTACATAAATTCGGTAAAGGTAACTTTTAAGACATAAAAAGTGTGGATGCAATAATTTCTTTACATGAATCTAAACAAACCAGAAAAGGAGATATAAGTAATATTTTATGCCATCTGCAAATTACAAAGCAACAAATACCGCACTTTTACCGGAAATGTTTGTTTAAATATCCGATTTTTTTAAAAGGTTTAAGTCTGAACAACCAAATAGTAAAAACCTATCAATAGTTTTTCAAGAAAGCATTATATACATTCAAATATGTGTGCGCCACATTAAGAGCAAATTTTTGATCGGATGGTTGTAATAGAGAGCTAAGATGTACATAGTTCGGTGAACCTTCGTTATAATCAGCTTTGTGTAACTGTACCAAAAATTCGTGTCGTCTGCGTATTGCTCCAATGGAAAATCTCAAACATAATGGCCATTCAGAAATTTGAATGTTTGATAGATGCACAGTGTGATGAAGGTAATTGTATGTTGTATGTAAAGCATTCGACTCTAAAACATCAATTAGAACTTTTTATTACATTTTTTTTTATTACACTGACACATCAATACCTCCTCATTTAATGATATATGCGATTTCGCCACCATATACAGCCAAATAGGCATTTTCACTGGAGGTGCTGTGGGATATTCACTAGCATTCACTAACGAAACATTACAACTGGTACGCCAAGTTCGTTTAGTCAATTCATTAAAAAGTCCTACTCACCCATCATGAACACTCTCGGATCTTTCAGCAAAATTGCCTTAACTTGTTCTTTTGTAAATTCCAGCTCTTCGTTCAACATAGTAACAAGTCGCTGCAAAGATAAAACATATTAACTTCATTCTTTTTAAATTTAAGTGAACTGCAATTTTTAAAATGTCGCTCCATGACTATAAACTTCACCGAAATCTCTACAACAAAAAAATCTTCGTGTGCATACTTCAATCGATCCAACACCGTACATAATAATTCTTGGTTCGGTGACTATGAGTTGACGCATTTCATCCCCTGTCAGCTCAAAAGTCTTTTGAATCCACCCCAAGCGAGCATCTGTCGTTTTGACGTCTGTATTTAACCAAAACCTGACATAAAATACCCGGTGGAACGAATGAATATGAAAACTTAAAAAAATAAATATTAACAATTAGGACAGCGAATTTATGAATTAACAAGGATTTCCGAACAGAGTGAACATTCATTTACTGCCATAGTAAGTAACAAGAAATTATGTTTTAAATATTTTAAATGAAAAAAAAACTAACCTATTGTTTTTCACGATTTTAAGAATTTTTGCTTTAGTCAGCTGCTTTGTATAGAGGTAATTTAATCGCACCTAGAATCACATAAAATATAGTACATATACTACAATTTTTAAGACAAAAACGAAAATTTTCAATTTTTACAGGGAAGGAGAAAAACAACAGTCATTAACCTGCATGCTCTCTAAATCTTGTAATAAGAAATACGGATTTCGTGTTAAATATGAGCCAACATCGTTTATGGGCATACCGACTTGATGAATTAACCAAACAAGTTTCGGTCTTACTTCACTTTCCCAATCTAATTTCATCAGCTTACGACCGATACATGTCACTGAATCCACCTGCAAAACAGCTGGTTATAAAGCTGATAAATTAACATGCATATTTTATAGTCTCAAAAACTTTCGAAGTCCATAAACTTAATTGGTTAACATAAACCTCAAATAAATCCATGCCCAGTTCGACAAGTACCTGCAACACTGGTAAATGATTTACATAATGAGCAATAGACCATGAGTGTGTAGGAGGTAACAATGACGGATTTGTAGTCGGATCGAAAGGAAGTGGATTGTCCCTAAACAAACCAGAACTTTAAAACAGCTGGAAATTTTGTATGTGGAAAAAATTCAGAAAACCAAAAGAAATCATCGTAAGATGAACAACAAACACATTTTTGGAATAATTATATCCAATGATTTTACCATCACTGGAATCCAAAAATATATCAAATTTATTACTATCAGCAGCTGTACTAGATAAAATAAAATCAACTCAGTTCCCAGGCTCTAGATTGTCAATATTTAAAAAGAGAAAGAACCTTGATGGCGGTTGCATAAAGTTCGACTTATCTATTTCTCCCTCTGAATATATAATGGATCGAAATCGATTGGCCTCTACTTTTTGCTTCTTCCGTCGTGTCGAGAAAGCATTTTGAAGTGTTAGCTGTAAGGACATTTTATAAAATTCTGTATAGCTGAAGCTTTTTAGTGAATCAATGCATTTTAAATTATAACAAAATAAAGAATATACAACAAAATACATGCAACAAAATACACTCTCTTCCATTTCCTTATCATCATAACTCAAGACAGCTTCCATCTGTTCATTTCACATTTTGGAGGTGATAGAAACCTCTTTTCAGTTCTAATTAAATACCTACAGTTCTATCAACGATATTTATTTCTTTTGATGCAAAATCTTCCTTTTTATCAAACGCATCTGAGACAGAATCCCTGGCCGAAACATTCCGTTTTCCAACCTATAATAGATAAAAAGAATATTAACGTTGAGTTCAATTCGATCAATTCAGATTATTTCTACATCTGTAAAAATAATTATTTCTACACTGTATGTAGAAATAATGCAGTTTCTTCCTTTCCACATCAGTTAATCAATTTCTTCTTACTCAATTTTCTCCACATCGGCAGTAAGACTTTCAGGACTGTTGAAATATTAATTACATTGGGATTTCTCAGTATTCATATGTTTGAAGTTAACCAGTCACAACGACAGCAAAACTGCCACACCTATAGCCAAATAAAAGTGATATACCTCATTCCATTTATCATCGACCTCCACTGCTTGCTGTACATTACCATCAACGAACTTTCGGAAGCAAAATGCATCCACAGCACTTCTCTGAAGACCTCGATAACCATGTCGTATGAAAATCATGACCGAAAACGTCTAGTTTTTTCAAACAAAACCATCTAAATATTCATCACATTTATTCAAGCGAATATCGCCCAAATTAGTGCAGAAACTTATATCTACATAGTGCGTATCACGCAACTAAACTGAAAGATTGTAAGAAGATTCGAAGAGCAGAATATTTCCCATCTGATTTGATAATTTATTCTTGGTGTCACCCCATCACAACTATAGAAAAATATAAATAGCACATGAAAATTTTATTTTAACGAAATAATGCATAAAGTTACTTCAAATGACAATAATTAATTGAATTCAATCTCATTTTTATGCACTATTATCCTAGCTAAACAAATTCAAAAACTGAAAACAGAATGATATTTTATATCACCGGTATGTGAAAAGTTAAATACGTTTTAACCTGCAATCAGAACAAACTTTGAATGGAGGGCTTAGAATGCATCAAAACACAACCTGTATTTCTTAATTTCCAGGAAATTTTATGAGTCACAAAGGTTAAGTCTTATAATATCTTAAAAACCAAATTTCGATAATCGCTCATGCCTAAAAAAAATTGGTGAATCCAGAGCAAAGTGAAAGTATGACAAAAAATATAAGCAAAAAATAAGTCATTGAGATTTAATATAATAATAATAAAAACACTACTGCTTCGCTGCACTTACAGCGGCGCTTGGGCCAAGCAACATTTGCCTCTGCTGAGCTACCTGAAACAAAACTAAATCTAGTATCAAAACTTTATGAGTAATCATTGAGATCAAAATACAAATAAAATGACAAATAAAAGTGAAAACAGAATAAATTAGCTGCAACTAATTTAGTTGTACACTGATAGTAAAGTGAGCAAATGTAAACGCACTGTGTACATGAGTAATTCAACAAACTAGTCCCCTAAATCTACCATCTACGTTCCTTATATAGACAGAAGATTAATTAATTACATCGTTTTTAATTAGAGATAAAAGAGAAAGATATTTGACTAGCTCATAGAACATACATTGAAAACCGTTTATATTACAATACCGCAATGATAAAAGAAGAATGTGGGACTTTTGAAATACAAACCTGGCTTTTTTCGTATTCAGACCTTTCTTTTTCAATTACATATGGTAAGACTAAAATCATCATCGACGATGATACAATCCAAAGAGCAGATTTCACAAACGAAAACTGAAATCAAAAAAAGTATCACAATTAATTTAGAAATTGCATTATATATTTATCGTTTCAACATGCATGCATTATCTGACAGCCAAATTCAACAAATAAATATTTGCTGGGTACGAATACCGGAAGAGATATATTTAATACATAAATATCATCAAAGCATAAGAAAAAAAAGATCTACCGCATGTTTTGCTGCCCATATCGACCAATCAACAGACGATTCTAGCTTACATCTAAATACATCTGGAAACATCTCACGAAGGCCCCAAAGTCTTTCACCAATCGTTTCTTCCAACTCATCATCCGGAATTTGATCCCATTCATCACCACCAATTCTACTAACTGCCATCTTCCTGCTTTCTTTTTCTCTTTTAATCGGCAACTAATAAAAATTTCTCATTTGTTTGATCAGATAAGATTCAGCTCTCCTTAGTTCTTAAAAGTAACTGTACTGCGATGCTTCTCGTAAAGAAGAGTTGTCAAAATAATGATTAGTTAAAGTGGTCAAAAGTGACCAAGCGGAACATCAAAAAAAAGACTTAAAACTATTAGAACACGAATATAAAACAGAAAACAGTAAAAAAAAAATTGAGTAAACTATAAATATAAAACAATGTTCCGTAAGCACAATTTTACAAAAAAGGGTATAACACAAATGAAGCAGTCTTATTAAAAGTTGAAAGTACCATAGTCGAAATGGTGCTGAGAAGCACAAGCATAAAAATTAAACGACCAATTACTGATAAATTTTGCTTGAGCTTTATTTCATTAACATCACTGAACAACACATGACAAAATTAGATAATAAAAAAACTATAAGAAAAAATTTTTAAAAAATACAAAATGTCCGACTTCACAAAAATTTTGTACAAAATGTTCACACTAAACAGATAAATACTTGACTGTTCTGTACTAAACATTCTGAATTATTAAATTCATAACGGATAACTGTTTCTAATGCAATTGGCGTATAAAGCTACACTGAGCAAAAACGCTTCATTCTTCCCTTCACTATAAATCCCATATTCTCCCATTATAATTCAAATTACAAAGGAGATAACTCATGAAGACTAAATTCTGAAAAACATAGCTCCTTCTTGGTAAAGCTGATTCTCCGAATAAAATATGATATAAAAAATAAGATAAAACTTTCAGGTCAAAAAGAGATGTGTTCAGAAGAAGCATTGAAATATACTTGAAAAACAAAAAATAGAAGATTGTATTAATTAACACATAACAATTGATGATGGCAAATTGTTTCTGAACATAAAACTTCACTTGTTTATGTCCTATCTGTTTCCATTGGGACGTCGCCATCACTCGCTGCCTGAGAGTTCAACGGATGAGCAGTCACAACGGGATCCAGCTGTGCACTAGATGACGCACAAGTATGATCTCCATTTGATGTACGAATACGATCTTCATTTGAACGCACTAATTGTGCCGATGTTTTGGCATCAATGAATAATTCAGCACATTGTCGCACATCTTCTTTCTAAACTTATTATTTCAAAGTATATCACAAAAAATAAGAGTCGTCAGTTATTAATCTGACTATAAATTTGTTGTTACTCCAAAAAATTATCTTTTTATGGACCAAATAGGGTATATGCACAAAGCTGAACCATATCATCAAGAAAGAGAATGGCATTTCGTATATCAATTTAGTTATTCTCAATAAGAATCGCGTTATAATACAAAAATAGTGAGTGTCCTAATGTAAATGAAAACCGTCGAAGAACAGAAAGAGAAACGAACCGTAACAGTGTCGCGACTATTTACTTGTGCAAGTAATTTTGCAGGTGTAAGTAATTGAACAACATATCTCAAAGATGTTTCGGCGCCCAAGTTGCTCAAGTGCTCTACGGCATCGTCATTCAGTTTTACACCTTCTGCGTCGGCTCGGATCTTTACGATGGACAATATTTCTTCAATTTTATATGGCTTTGTAATGATTATCAAGATGCGATCTAATAAATCCGACGGGATACCATGCGGCGCTATCATTTCTGTACCTCTAAAAAAAGAAATTCTCTATGAAAAAAATCCTCAATGCTTGCATTTGCCAAGAATGAAATGCAGTGTTAGCCAACTAATGTTTCCGATTACGTCGAGATCATGGTTAAATTTAGGCATTGCAAAATTAGTTTAAAAAAGTCCTCCATATATAAACTTACCGAACTTTGCACTGACCCCGATTAGTGGCAAAAATTACAATAGGACTAATAGTGCTCTCAAGCGCTCTATGTAAGTATGTGAAACATTCGATATCGAGCATATGCACTTCGTCAATGAATAACACGCCTGGCATTAACTCAGCAATACCCTGAAACACAAAAAATCTTTTACCCAAATTACATAACCCATACCATCTTCAAATTATCTCAAAACATACTTGTTCGATATAATCGTTCACGACACTGTTAACTTCTTGCCGCAATCTTTCTGTAATTTCAGTTTTTTTTGGTTTCAACAACTGCCCGACAAGTGATTTCACATTACCAGCAGTGCCATGCGGACGAGCATTTGCAACATCCAGATCGTGTAACGTAACATCCTATAATTTTCATTTGAAGTTCCTTGAACATAGAATGAACAGAAATGATCAAATGGTTTTTGAAAAATAAGTTGCAATTTTCAAAAAACGCAATCTACGATCTTTAAAACATTCAATACTTGGACGATTTCTTTCGATTTTCGAACATCGCCTTTCGGCAGTGGCACAAATTCGTCGGCTTCTAGGTCAAATTCCGTAGCATATACATCACATCGACCAAGCCTCTAAATAAGGATAGCTAAATGAGCATAGTAGTTTTCAACAAGATTTGTTCCAACTTCTACAACAAAAATATAACTGCAGGAGGATATGGCAAAAAGTAAAGAAAGTATAAAAATAAAATAATAAGACGAAGTTCAAACCTTCACAGCTCCACTATTCGCCTCAATATAGATGACGTCTCCAACTTCAATTTTTTGCTTCAAAAGCGTGTCATAAATTGATGGATCAAGTTTCAACTGTTTGCTTCCTTTAACGGTTTTCAAACCAATCAACACATGCGATATTATCTGCAAAAATATTTACCAATAAAATTTCAGAGTACAAAAGTTTTACTTAGTATTACAAACGTTCTATAAGTATTTGGTACTTTATTACCAACCGCTTGAAATAAACATTCAAATCCCAAATAATAAAAGAATCTTCCATCAAGACATAAGATTTATCTAAAAGGTTAGCTGTGTTATATTTGGCTGTAACATTCAACGATAAGCTGAAGAATTAACTTTGCCATATCCACCCGTTGCATTTTCGTTTTCCACTGGTGTTAGTTCTGTGACTTCACCTTCATATACTTCTTTCTTCTCTCTAACACGTAAACCTGAAATAAATATAATGGAAAATAACTTAAATATGACTCACCATTTTTAAGTATAAATTTTGTTCAAATATAATCTCGCAAATATGTTTTGAAGAATTTAGTTTTGGTGATTCATAATTAGTGAGATTTGAAATTTTATATGATATAATTCATTAACGACAGAGTACAAAACGATAATTACCAATTGATCTTCGGAAATTTTCCATCAGTACTTCAGTTTTCTTCACTTCTGATGAATAGACTTCAGAACCGACCATTGGACAAAACGGCATCTTATCACCCAATTCCTGAGCCATTGCTAGTGCTATAGCTGTCTATAAATGTGATGAAATAAGAAGCCGCGAAATCAAATAGAAAAATTTTCAAGTAGAAATCTTTAGAATTCTCTGCTTCAAAATTGTTAAAAAAATTGCCTTCTGGTCAATAACGAATACAGAAACACACCTTTCCAGTTCCTGGTGGTCCAGCTAGAAGAATAGCACGTCCAGCCATGCGTTTCATACGGATCAAATCCACAATTACCCCAGCTGCTTCTCGTGCTTCTAACTGACCGATGAAGCCATTTGCCTAAATCCTTCACTCTGAATAAAGCATTTCCCTAAAGAAATAGTAATCTCGGGCCACTCAAAAGGGTGGAAGTAATAATTATTGAACAGCTTACGAATAATCAGAAAGCCTATAAAAAAACAAGACTCGACATCTGCTATTTTGAAGGCATAGGAGAATAACGGTATCGAATTGATAGCACCCAGAAAAATAATGCAATGAATAATCACATAATTCTGACCAAACAAATATATTTCTTTCAGCACCGAAAACATCAGCTTGAATTATCTGGAATAATAAACGAAAATTATTTAAAGAACTTACATTATCGCTAGGTAAATGCGTCTCAGGATTTAGCCCTAAGCCTTTCACATGGCTATGGGCAGCAACTCTTTGCTTTCGAGCTGTTGATTTAACCTGCAAATTTTAAAAGTTTTCAAGAAATATCAACGTACTGTGACGTCATTGTCACTTTTTTTAGGGTCAAAAAAACAAATAGATTTATAGAAACATAAGTTCAATAACCGTGACAAAAGTATACTTCATCAATATTGACTAGTTTCGTTGATAACGCTGCACCACTTTCAACAGTCATCTAGAACAATGATATGTTCAATGTTTAAATCAATATGGGTAATGATATGTTCAGCAAAACTACCCATCATATATTAGATGAGAATCAACAAATCTACAGTACTACATAGAATAATAAAAATACTACATAGAATAATAAAAAATATTCTCGAAAAATTTCCACTGTATGAATATTTTAAATCGTGTCGCAAACAAATGTGTAATTATGGGGCATTTCGCTCAGAAAGAATAACGCAACAAGCGTAAGGATATTTGACGCAACACGTGCACATATAGCTAACACATATGTTCAGTACCCTCGCAAAGCCTGCATCGCGCTAAACCGCACCTATGAAAGTTGCATACCATAGTGAGATTGAAATGAAATTACCATCCCACATCATTAAATAAGGTATCATAATCAATCCTACACGGGTGGGATACTATTGAGTACACGTGATTTTTGTAATCGAGAATTGGCAGTGCAGGTTCATTTGCCTGACTTACACTCACACTTCCATTTGCTCTTCATATCATCTATTAAACTATAAAGCAATGGCCATTTCATGTCCTTATCAGAGTGTGATTATATTCTGAGTTTGGAATATCTTTATTAATATGAGTATAGATCAGTTCACCTGTGAAAGATCTGAGTTTATCACAGAGCAGCATTATCACAACCACAATGTTTTGAGTTTAGTACGACAATGCATTGTTTAAACAAGAATCAAATTTAATGAAAATATTAAATTAAGTAGTAACAAGAGTTTAAAGCAAACAACAATTTTCTCTTCAAATTTTCAAATAATTTAAATTTAACTAATCGAGATATTCGAAAATTTAATATAAACTGGAAAATGATTTTGTCTTTCGCCTTACGAATGATTGGAATGATCTTAGACTAAATTTTACACTATTACAACCAATTAATTACTGAAGATAGAAAGCACACATAGGCAGAACAAAAACCTACGACAACACTGCGCCACGGACATGAAAGTGAAGATGAAATAAATAGAAGTATATTAAATATCGTATCAGGAAATACGCGATGATTGTGCTTTTTTTGAAAAAAACAAGATATTAACAGCACATACAAGAACAGTTACACAGAAATTAATGTAATAGTAAAATTAATGCCTCGAAAACCACACATCAAGTCTATGATAATTAAGAGAGCCGTGAAAACAGTATTCTATAACAACTTAATATGAATGGTATGTAAAATAAATTAAATGTAGTTATCTTCAAAGTAATGCATATTTCTAATGCCAAATAGGATAATTTGTAACACTAAAATGTTCTGCAATTTCTAGAAGTGATGTTGCCTGTAAAATTGTTATTGTATGCTGCAATATTCTGCAAAAATCAAGCCGATGGCCAACTGAAGTGTTACACATTAAGAAAGTGAGATTTCCTGCATAATATTTTGTTTTCCACTAATATTCATTAACGGACTGTCATCATTTGGACTGGATTTGTACCTAACAGCAGTAATACTGTTCTTGGAGTTGCTAGTTATTGAATCAATTTTAACTACTGCCTCTCCGAGATCATTACTGTCCCTACTTTCCCTCTTCTTTTTTATCTTTTTCCATAGCCAATGTATCGCTGCAATGAACAGAAGCGGTATTGGTGTCATACTTGCGCAAATAACGGGAATCAGTGCACTAATGTCAGCGTCCGGATCAGGAAACGAGAACTGAAATTATTAAATAGAAGTTTCAGATCAAAAGGAAAGAATAACGAAGAAAATAAGGTAATTTAAAAAATAAAGTAACTACGGGTTGTCAAGTGAGCTTTCTTAATAAACAAATTGTTCTTCATTTAGTGAATTACGAACACGTGCCAAAAAATTTTTTGAACAGAGAGAAATGCAGTCCTTTTCGTTATAAAAAAAATAATCTATTTCACTATTGGACTAATTAGTTACTAATCAGATTTCTACAAATATCTTCGCATAATAAAAAAAAACAATACAATTTTCTTCATTTCACTCATATCAATCCCTGTTAATAAGTTATGCATCAACAGCTAACTAGTAATAATAATTTACCTTCAGCAGCATGATAGCTATCCCCGTATTCTGAATACCAGTTTCGATTGCTATAGAAGTGACATTGGGTGGCGACTGTCGAAGAATAACAGCTGTGAAGCAGCCAATCGCAAAGCCACACCAAGGAAGCAATAAACTACTAAAATTTTAAACTGCAAAACAGAAAAATGGAATGAAAAATTGAAACGTCATAAAAAGTAAAGTAAAATGATACCCGATAACAGTTGTCCATGTCAGTAAACGAACCATATATATATTGGCTACTGTTCCGAAACCAATTAAAAAAACCAAGACGAATACAATAAATGGACGCATAATCTATAAATAGATATATTACGTATAGTGAAGACAGCAACCTTGTCAGCCTCAAAAGAGAACAAGCTAACAAAATTCATGCTCCTTAATTTCAAAAATCAAAACCTTTCGAGCCTGAAGTCGTAAAGCTGGTTTGAAATGTGAAATTGTAAGACCGAAAATTAGTGGCACTATCATTATAACCAAAGAAGAGACGATTCTGATGTACGGAACTTTGATAACTACTTCAGGATGGAAACTGTTAAGAAAGTGGAAACCCAAAAGCCACATCCACAACGGTATCATCACTGTAATATTGTGACAAATTAGCTTTACAATCAATTATTATATATGCTATTCAGAAAAGGATTTATATTTCCGTAAAATTTGCATAAGACATAGTGCTTGAAATAGTATGGAAATCAATCTACGCAAGAATTGCGAATTGCGTATTTAAAGAAGAGAATGACAAACTACTTGAACTGAGAAAAAGTAGTTCAACAACAAATACCAAAAGTTGACTTTTTTTGTCTTGAATTTTATTCGTTTAGTAATAAAGGATAAATTTACCTAAAGCTGCTAAAGTGCTACAAAATGTCATTGTTAGAGACACTGGTAAATTGCCATCCAACAAAAGAGTCCAATAATTGCTGGCACCACCGCCAGGTACGCAACCGGTAACAAATAAACCAAGTGCGAAAGAATGCAAACCTCTGGCAGTGAATACAACATTTGCGATACCCCAAGCAAGCTAAATAGAAATTGAATTTTTTCCTTAAATCTTGTTTATACTTACTTATGGCGGGGCATTATCCTGAAAGTTCCAGTCAATTGAAGAGAGCACGGTAGCATGTTTTGGCATTGAAGACTATATATAGTTCAATCGGCTCAAAAACGTAAGTAATGTTTTGCTCGAGCAAGAATAACACCACAATTTCAATATTGCTCGGGAAAAACAGTTCATTAATGATAATCATTTAGCGTTTTCTCTAGATTACATATATATTTGCACTTTAAAACTTTTGGCATAAAATTTTTAAGAACTATCCATCATCAATAAATTAAATTAGTTCAATTAGCAAAAAAATAACTTGCCAAAGGCATTGCAACAAATTGTGTGAAAAAACCGATCATCGGTGCTACGGGTTCTTTAATCACTTCCAGCATCATACGCCCATCAAGCTAAAACAATACTGCGTAAACGAATCACGATAGTTTCTTATAAAAAAATAACTAGTTCGCATTAAATTGATAACCGAATCCATTTACACTTCTCATTTACTGCTGTGAGAGTAGCATACATCTCGATTCCTAATCTAAATTTTAGTCAATATAACTTTTTGCTTCTGTTCTGGATCAGAAGCTTTTTATTTATTAAAAAAAATTTCTACATTTAATTTATACAAAATTTAAAATTCTGAAAAATATTGTAAAGCAACGATAAATTACCTCACACCCCATCAACATATTGGCGATGATGATCAGAATAGCCAGTGTTGATAGAAATAACCGATTTACAAGTCGCTTGTTATCCTGAATAACCCAAACATCCAGCGTGTTGTTTTGATCAAAAATATTTTCGTTCTGCAATAACAAACTTCTTATTAATTGAAAGTTCTAAAACTGTGACAAAGTGGCTTAATGCAGACCATATTATACTTACTTTGTCTATTTCATATAAAAATCGATCATCATCCACAGTTTCATTCATACTCAATAAGCGTACTTTTACAGCTGTTTTACCAAGGAAATGTCCGATAAGTGTGATATTTGTCTGCAAAATTACAACGAAATTGTTCATCTCAAAATATTAGTAAATTTGTGGAGAAAAAGCTCTTGAAAGAATCGCAAAGGAATAATTTCATAAGAACTTCGTATGTTTCGGAATCGTTTCTCTTCGATGAATATTCACCCAATTTGAACTGTTTTTGTTCTTTCGCTGCTGTAGCAATATCTTCATCAACTGATCTGTAAGCCCAGAAAATAATTACTGGTAAATAACGATCAACAGATAGATTTGCTTGAAAAGTTTATTTTTCATTAAATATACACTTTCCTCACTTGTCGTAAAAACATGAAGTTGTTGGCAAGGATTTAAATCAGAAAAGTGAAATATCAAAATGCAAAAACTATTCAATAAAAAAACTCCTAACTTCAGAATAATTGCAAATGGTTTTTCGGGCGGTAATTTTACAAATTCCTGACGATTCGTATCCACATCAACAGTTACTTTAACTGTTTTATTGGTACCAGCCATGAGATCATGAATATAGGGAGGATCGAACCGAATTTGAGCAATTGATTGTATTCCGGAGCTAGTCACTGATACCATCATATTTAGAATCAGCCGGATCAAGAGATAAAACGGACATTTTCCAGAAGCCATTTACTCTTAACTATAAACATATATTTTTAAATAAAAGTAATTTATTCAAAGAAAACGGAAAGTATTCTCAATCCAATTTATGCTCACTTTTTAAATGGAATGCACTGTTATGAACTATAGTGACTCGTATTCTTTGCAATAAAAGTGGAAAACGAAGATAGAACCAAAATTGAAAATCACACAAGTCTTATCTCCCTTATTAAACGGAAAATTCATGCAATAAGTTCGTGTCCATTAACATAAAAACAATTTAGATACACCAATATTATTTCCTAATATAAAAATAGTTCACTATTATAAAAACCGAAATTATCCATTCCACTAAACACATTAATTCACCAGAATTATTAATATTAATAATATATTCAAAGTCAATATCTTTAACATTATTAAAATTAAATGGCTCTAAAAATTTATTCACATCTTTTGAATTAAAATTTGTTTCCTGATAATGTAAGTGCACGAAAAGTAGTTCCAAATTCATTTGTTAGAGATATTTCAGGTCTACATTCTCTTAAGAATAAAAATGGATTTCAATCCATTTATAAAAAAATATTAGTAATCTTAGTAATACTGCTCCGCAATTTTTATAGTACTATAGTCTGCACTTGGTAGTTCATGATAGGAATAATGTGATTTTGTTAATCATTAAAACATCATTATCAGGATGTTTTAATGATTAACAAAATCACAAGTAAGTAATGATTCGAACATCATACTAGAAAATGTTTGAGCTGAAATCTTATCCGTATTATCTATTAGAAAAACAGTAAAACGAAGAAAGGAAAAATTGAAATTTAAATTGTTTTTTTTAAGGAATGAAGCTGGGGAAGAGAGCACAATCCTAAAAACATTGCACCATTAAAATGGATAATAAGCGGATATCGTTAATGGTAAAAATCTCAATTAAAGAAGCAATTTAGGGCGAGAATAGCAATCATCCAACAAAATCACTTCTTTGCAATTATTTTTGAGAAAACAGATTCCGATATCTAATTTCAACATAAATAATTACCATAATTAATTAATGCCCACTTCTTCATTTATTAGGCTTTATTCCTTATCTTTCTTTTAGATTATAAAAAAGCAGCGATAACATAAATGAACGACAATAAAAACGGAGTGCATCGCTAAACGATGAATGTGACGGAAAACTGATCAGATTTCGCTAAATCGATGTAAATGATATTTCGTAGAATATAAGAAAGAAAAAAGTTGAATAAAGTAAAATGCTGTTTTTGAAAAGTTACTAAAAACATAACAGAACTAAGAGTTCATCAGAATGGGCAATTCCAGCTGTTACCATGGTTATCATAGAATGTCATAATATCATTATTGAAGCTAAAAAGGGATGAAAAATTCTGCAAGAAAACTTTTGCTTAAAATCAAAAATCGCCATTTTAAATAATTCGAATAAAGTAAGCCTTTTCCTGCATTCCCAAAAAATATTGCGTTATTGAAGAAGTTAAAGAAAAATAATGTTAGGTGAAGCAAAAGTTATTTGTGATGAAACTGCAGTGCTTCTTTATTGTGGGAAAAAATAGTGCAAATAACAACAATCATAACAATGCAGTAAATTGTTTTTTTACAATTCTCTTGGCACATTTCAGCTCTCTTTACTAAAATATTATCAGAACAAGAAGTACTATATACTTCAACTACTAAAAAGTTGAATAATACATTTTACAACTATTTAATGTATTTCAGGAAACTTGTTCTACTACATACAGAAGAGTAATTTTCAACATAAAATTAATGTAGTGTTGCATGAAGTACGTATTTCTGCGGAGAAAAAAGGTTTTAAAAGGTTGCTTGAGGAAATAAATTTCCTATCGCATGACAATGAACATGACGAGTAACTGTGATTAGATGCATTCGAATAATATTAAATATCGCCATGTTTTAAGACATAGTAGCTAGAGACCTAAAAGCTATAAAATGCTAAACTTCCTTTCCAAAGGTTAAGATAAATATTACGAGAAACATTTTAGTTGTTTGCATTTCAAATATTTCAAGTTACATGAAATGATTTAAATGAAATGGACAATGAATGCATGATGCATCAAACGATGCAACTGTAATTGCTCTGAATTGAAAAAAAGTTATACCACCACGATGGATAATTTTTAACAAAGAAATGACGCAAGTTGGGTGTGACGAGAAACTATTCACATACCTCTTTCAACAAGTCTTGAAAAAACGATTGATATTTTTCTGTTACAAAAAAAGCATTTCATTTCTACACTTTTGTTCTTTTTTTAACAACTTAATTGTTTGCCTATAACACACTATCATTCACTGATCAAAAATTAAAAATAAATAAAACAGATTCCCTAAATTATTATCATGCACTAATTGTCAAGCAAAGTGAATGAAAAGGATGGAATCGTATGTTTTCTTCTAGATTCCATGATTGATTTATACTTGCACTTCACCAGTTGCATTGAATTGAGCGGAAAAGTTGAGATCATCATCAGCATCGCGAGTTTTTCGTGAGAAAAAAATCAATGTGCAGCAATTTCCCGATTAGCCATTATGCTGTACCAAATCAAATCACGTTTTTAAATGATATCATATAAATGGAAACGTTCAAAAGACCGGGATATAAAACTCACGTGAAAATAATTATTTCATCATTTGTTCCATTGTAATGAAGATGAATTTTGACGTAAAACTATTGCTGCTAAAGGATACTTTGGTTATATAAAAGAAAACTTCCAGACGTAAACATAATCAAAGAGTGAGCAATCCATATACTCATACCAACAAATTCTCACTCGCAATCGATTACAGGAATGGAGCTTAAATTGTATACACACATGCATAAACACATGCAAATAACATATGTCGACATATTCGTGCATGAAAAATAAGCATAAACTTCACAACAATGAAAGCAATTGAGGAAACAGTGACAACTTACAAAATTCAAAGAAAATTTATTGGATTCATATCATAAGGAAAAAAAAATGGGAAACTGAAAGCATAACAATATTTCTAAATTAGCATATTATAATAAACTTACAGTAAATTTAGAATGCTTATAAATAAAGCATTTTTAAGATGCAATAACAGAAAGAACAGAAATCAAAATGTTAATCTTTAATTTGTCCGAATATTCCTGATATTTTCATTATTCTTCTTTTTTCTTCCATTCGGATTTTTTTGTAGTTATTTGATGACGAATAAAAACATATTAATGAAATCAACAAGCAATTACATGCATCATAATATAAAAAAATGAACGATAAAAACGCTTATTATTTAGATGTTTAGAATTCTTCATCATTAAAAAAAACAACAAAAAATCAGAAATCAAATTAATACAATAAAAAAAATGAGTTACTGGTGAAAACAGCAATTAAAGGCCGTAATTTTTACAATTCCATAAGAAAAGATGCTAAAGAATCGTTTCTACATGTAATATCAAAAAAAAAATCTTTATACTCGTCATAATATTCCTAATGACATAAAAAGGTTTTATAGAAAGAAATAAAACATGAACAAAATAAAGCATCAGTACTGGCAAGGGATCTGCTTTCAGATTAATTTCATAGTTTAAAATATAGAATAACAAAATAAGGCATGAAATATCTTTTCTCCATAAGACTGTAATTAATGGAAGAGCTAATGTCACAGATTATTAGGATATAGAATATTAACTAAATTTTACCATAACGACTTTCAGTTGGATAGCAATTGAAAAAATGCAGGAATTAGATAAAACGACACAATAATTGCATGTCAAAGACGATAACAATAATTGCGTGTTAAAAATATGTTTCAATTAATACTTGAACAAATTCCTTGCTTCTGATTCAAAAATCTTCATTGCCTCAAATAACCAACGCTCAGACATCCAGTGAACACGAAGATTGAAAATAGAAGCAAACGTAGATTGCATGGATGACACCAGGTATCCAAGCAAGGAGAGTGAAAATAATGTTCAGTAGAAAATGTATGTCACAGCCGCGAACGATTAAAACGGCAAGAGGCTGCAATAAATTCTGAGCTTTATTTCTTAATAAGAAGTTATTCCTTTTCAATCAAAAATGCTAAATATTCATATATGTTGCTAGCATGCGAACAATTTCAAGTCAAGAAAAGATTAAGAACCATATTTGAATAGCTTGTTGAATTAAGAATTAGTCTAAATTTTTGAGTCATTTCAGAAATAAATTCACTTACTGGGAACAAAAAACAAAGAATGACCAAGATCAACGAGAGGCACATTTCAAGCAATAATAAGCACACCTGTTGGTTGCCAACTGTCCGTGTTTAATGTAAACTGAAAATAAACCACTCCATTTGTGAAATATGTGATGGGCATTTTTTCAGAATTCCCAACGCACGCACAATTCGATTGCGATAAGTAAGTATAAGTACTATTTCGATAACGATAATTACATGTTACTAAAAAAATCTAATAGGTACGTGAAGACGCATAAAAAGACTATTGTAAAAGAAAACAGAATTGTAAAAGAAGAGCAAAGTTTTTATGTAACTCTACAAGCGGTACTCTATAAGACTTATGTAACTCTACCAGTCATTTAGCAAACCATTGCATTACCCTAT